CACAGTCTTCTTTCTTTTCCCTTCTTGCTCTCTCTCTCTCTCTCTCTCTCTCTAACTCTACCCCTAGACTCCTCTCCTTAAGGCCAAACGGGGGAAGGAAAGGGAGATCAGGGTCCTGAAGAAAAGATGCTCGAGCAACTAGACCAGCCACACCTACCCCCACAACAACCTGGAGATGGACAACTGTGCTTAGGGCATGGACATGGACATGCACACGGCTAAGCCAGACCCACCACGGGAGAAAAAGGAACGAGCTAGGGAAGCTTTTGTGGGGGGTGAGGAGGGAGTGATTGGAGAAGGTATCTTTTTGCGGAGGAATGCATACGAGTTATCTCACGGTAGAAAGAAAGACAGCCAGATAGGCAGGCAGATAAGGCCGAAGGCAGCGAGACCAGCGATGCAACTGAAAAAAAGGAAAAGCAGCTTTGATCGAAAAGTTTGGTTCGGTCTGTGGGTGGTACATCTCTTTTCTCATTGCTTTTTGCTTTAGTTATGATCATTGTTGTGTTGTGGATGTTGCTTTTTTCTCCTTATTTTCAGTTTCTCAACCTGATGCCCTACCGTTTTAGGTAAATTGTCCCCCTTTGCTCTCAGACTGGTGAAAAATACTCGCTCGCTAGCTTGATAATACCGCCTGTCGATGAAAAGGCAGTGAGTGCTGACTAGAGGAGTGTCTCGCAAGAATGGAGCAAAGTGCTCCATCTCCCAGTCTGATTTCAACATGCGTACGAAGCTCGAGAAGATCTAGGCCGGGGACGGCACTTGACTGGCTTCTCTGCCGTCCTTGCATTCCCTTGTGTCTGCCATCTCTGTTTCTGTATGCATGTCCCCCCATGAGACACATAGCCCAGACGAGCAAAAGAGGAGGGTATTGCAGACTGTAGGGAGTAAAGTTTGTGTACTGCGTACTGTGTGTGTGTTATGTCTCTCCTTTCTATCCTCGGCCTCGGCCTGGGCGGCAGGTGGACCGCATGTGCCTTCTCCCTATGACCCCAGGATTCGCATCAACAAAGTCTAGAATCGAGAAGTTAATAATAGATAGAGGAAAAGCCACGTCCATGAACACCCACACGGTACGGCGGGAAGGTCACTGTTGTTCTGTCCTCTGTTCTCCGCCCACGTACATAACCCATCCACAACACCTAAATCGATGGCTGGCCCATGGGTGGTAGATCTGTGGAGGAGGAGCCACCATCAGCAAACAATTCCTCTCTTTTCTTCTTCCTTTGCTTTCTTTTGCTCTCCCTCTGTCTCCATAGCTCCAGCTAGAGGGAGATCATCCGTCGCTCAGGTGGGATCCTGGAGGGAGGTCTTGAGCCCGCAGGGCAGCGTACTTAGATAACCAGATAGACTGAGCCACAGGCTGTCTAACGAACTAGTAGCTTCATAGAGCTCCCTGCTAGTTACCTGTCTGTCCCCCCCCCGCGCCCCGCCTCCCCTATCTCGACGGACAACCTTCTGATCCGATCGGCCCTGGTAGACAAAACACCCGATCAGTGTGTGTAGTAGGTAAAGAGTCAGGCAGCAGATCCTGGCCCACAAAACACGACTTCATGTGTGGCCCGGACCACGGCAAGAAGAAGTGGCTCAGTTAGCAATGCGGCTGGAGCTATGGCCTGCAATATGGATAAAGCAGAAAAGCAAACTCCAGGGCGTGAGCTGGTCTGCTCGAAGTTGAACTTCCGCTTTGGACGAGCCATAGCTTCTGCGCGGCTATATCTGATACGGCCCCTATGGAGTTGGCGTTTACCAAGCCGTTGATATAGTTATAACACAAGTAGTTAAGGCCAACGCCAGAAGAAATAAGTCTCTCGGAGACGCTTCTAAAGGGGGAGGGTCAAATCATCTCCCGAGCCATGCCTCTCATTCTCCTTTACCAGATATCAGAAGTCGAAGTGCCTCTTTCAGAGGAGCAGGAAGTAGACAGGAGAGAATGGAGACGACAAGAAAGGGTGCTTTGGAATCAATCTTCATCCATCGAAGAGATCGAAACGAAACAATCGCTTTAGGAACTTCGATTGTTTCGCCACCTCTTCGGAGATGCCCGCCTTCGGATAATTTTGTTTTTGTTTTTTTTCTTCTTAATCTTTGTCCTTTTTTCCGCTGCCGCTGCTCTGTTGGCTAGTCAGTTGGGCCTTGAAGTTGATAACTCCTCAGGCTAACTAATGGCTTGTCAATCGGAAATCGGAGAGCGGAAGCGGAGGCAGAAGCCTTGGGCTGTTTAACCATCCGCCATCCAGCAGCGTGGAAAGTGTAAAAAAGAGAGAGAGAGAGTGTGTGTGTGAGTGAGAGAGAGAAAGAGAAGGCGAGAGAGCAGATGAAGAAGAAGAAAAGAAAGAAAAATGCGAATATCGCAGTTATCGAGGAGGAAGTTTTAAATCGGACTCGATGAGCTTTGCTGGATCGCCAAATGGCCATGAAGGGACTGGTGGCCTTTCGGCTCCAGCTTGCCTTGCCTTGCCTTGCCTTGCCTTGCCAAATTGATGCCTTGCCCTTTCGCTTCCTCGCAAAACGAAGAAGAAGAAAAAAAGAAAAAGTACGTAAGGGAAGAGGGCACCGATTTGACAATAATAGTGAGAGATATAGGCAAGGCAAGGCTTGAGGTTCTCTGGATCTACAAATCTGTAGCATGGAGCTACCTCTTGCCCAGAGCGAGTCGTGGCTCGGCTGGAGGTACCACTCGGTTATTCTCCAGCTTCGCCGGGATGTAACTGCGTATCCGTACAGTCACCCATCGGTATGTAGTGTCAAATTGGTACTTTGGCTCCACCAAATACGAGCTCTAAGCAGGGGGGTTATTAAATACTAGGCTATACCTTTTAAATATTAGTTTTAATACTATTTTATAGTTACTTAGAGATATACTAGTATTTTATATAGGTATCTCTATTTAGATATACTATATCTAGTACTTTATAGGGCCTCCCTTATTCTAAAATATAGCCTATACTCTATCCTCTATAGATTTAATCAAGGAGTTAAGGAACGTAGATTTAATAGTATCCTAGGCCTCCTAGATAGCTATTTTAAGCTCTATAGGCCTTATTACTTAGGGGTAATAAGCCTAGATATAGTCCTTTATTATATTCTAAACGTTCTTAATTAGATTTAAATCTAGGGAGTAAGGGGGCTAGCTAATTAAGTTAAAGCTATTTCTTACTATTACCTCTACTATAATAATAGCTATATAAGGGGGGGTATTATCCTATATAAATTCGTAGTCTAGATAAGCTTTTATCTATTCTACTACTAGAGAAATAATTCTATTGCTATAATTTACTCTATCTATCTTACTTTATTTCTTCTTCTATATAAGGTATGGTCCGTTAATTATACCTATAAAAGAGCCCTAGAATATCTAGTCTCTACCTCTTCGAGGACCTAATATAATATAGATAAAGTTAAAGGCCTTATTCTTCCTTCTTATAATAAATATCTAGATATATTAACCCCCTATAGACTATATCTTATCTATCTAGAGTATCTTCCTCTAGTTCTCTTCTATTTTATATAGATACTCTATTATAAATTATAGTCTTACTTTATAAATTTAATTAAATATAGAGGGGGTCTTTTAAGTAACTTAATATTAGAATCTAGCTCTATATAAGGTATATCGAATAGTATAAGCTCCTACTCTAAAGGGTATATTCTTAGTTAGTTCCTTATAAGTTAACTATCCATTCTCTAGGCTAGTATAAATATAATTAATAAGGGTATTAATCTACTCTATAGAGAGAGATTAAGGTCTTCCGGTTCGCTTTTTAGGAGAAGGAACCCCTTACTTATAGGTATAACGGACCTAGTAATAGGTAAGGCCTTTAGCCTTTATAATTTAAGTATAGGTAAAGTCTTACTTATAGAGAGTAAGGACTTATAGATAGAGATTATAGTCGAGATAAAACCTACGAGGTATCTTATTAAAGAGTTATTAATTCTAAAAGATATACTAAGCTATTAATAAATACGATATTTTATCCTATTTTTTAAAAAACGCGATGCGCGAGACTATTAGTTAGAATTCTTACTTCTAAATGGTAGTATTATTTAACTTTGTGGCTGGCAAGGACCCCTGTTGGTGGCAAGGATGCTCGATGTACTCTTTTGACATGACTTAGGCCTGACGCTTAGTAGACCGTTGTCGAGGTTTGTTTCTATGGAGTATCCGAATTATACTTAGCTGTGGTTATACGGGACAAGAAGAGAGGTGGCCTGAGATGTTTATACCTAAGTTATTCCCAGCCCTGACAATAATAGATATTTTAACGTCCCTTAGTGACCTTTTTTTTCAAAACTCGGGATGCGTCTCTCATGAAACAAACCTATAGCATGTCAGTTAATAGCTAGCAAGTTAGTCGATTCAATGCACATGTCAGAATCGAGGGCGTCGTGCATCGTGCTGTGTGTTTTGTTCTTTTTGTTTTTTTATTTTTTATTTTTCTTCTGTTTCCGTTGTTTCTTTTCCTCTCTATTATTATAGCCGTCGACACTTTTAATCTCCCTTACTTGCAACAACGTCCCGGACAGAAGGCGAGAAGGGAGAAATAAGATGAAGATCCAGACGACCGAGCGGGATGACAATATTAACATACTGCTTGCTGGACGGTCTCGAACTCGACAAAGGTCAAGGGCCAGGGAGGCAGATGGGGGAGTTGTTCTCGGCCCATCTGCCAACGGACAGCACACGGCTCAGGAGACGGCCTGGTTGCGGTCAAAGCGAGAGGCAGTGACTGGTTGACTTGCATGGAACTACCATAACTAGTTAGTTAGCTGCCTGTCGATATAGCAAGAAAAGTATTTAAGTGACAGGGGGGAGGCTCGTGTTAGGCCTCGCAGATAAGTCGTTAAGGGATAGGGGCTGGGGAAGGATGTACAGCGTACCTGGTCTCTGGTACTCCCAACGACGGGTTCAGATGTAATTGACACCTGTAAAATATGTAGCTCTCCGCAAAGTAATCGAGAGTCAAAGAGGTATCTTAATCTGCGGTCTGCAAGCTTGGATTAAGCTCGTAGCTCGTCCCCCGACGGTCTAAGTAAATCGAGACCAGCCAGAGTAGCTATCACCCCATATCTCGCCTTCTATGGCTGGCTCACTCTCTGACTTCCTTCTCTCTGCTTCTGTCTCTTGTCTCGAATCCAATTATGTTGTGTAAGGAATTAATGTAAGGGTTCAGTTGGGATTGCAACTTTCTTCCTCCCATCGAACATACAGTACTTGCGTGTCTTCCTCTTTTCTTTTGCTTCCTTTTCTTCCCTCTCTCACTGTCCATTTGTTCTAATTCCTTTTTCCGCATTTCTTCTTCTTCTTCTTCTTCTTTTTTTTACCCACTTATTTTATTTTCTGCTTTCTTTTTCCTCAGATTGATTTTCAGGGTCCAGGAGCGATTTAGAATATGCTTAGCAGCCATGCGAAATCCATCCCAAAGAAGCAAGCTGTGCCAGACCTTGGGTTGGGCCACGGTATGGCGGCGATTCTCGGCTTCCAAGGAGAAATATGGGCGAGAGAGCAGAAGAGACGGCAGGCCATAGTTTTGTGGTGGCTTTTCTTTTCTTTTCTCCGTCCTTCCCGCAATACATGGCAGGCTAGTTAGGTGAGTAACTCCTCCGTAAGTAAGTATGGAGTTATGTATGTATGCATGCCACTAGCTCCCCCGCAAAGAGATGTGAGGGAAGATCGACAGTTATATCCGCCGGGGGTTGAAGAAGGGAGACGCAGCAAGAAGCAGCAGAGAGGAAGAGAGAGGTAAGTAGAAAGGGAAGATCCTTCCAGTCCTGGTCTCTCCCTCGTTGCTTTTTGGGCTTCCCGCGGTGCACTGCATGTCTTGACCCTCCTTAGCCTTCTTTTTTTTTTTGCTAGCTACGGGAACAGCACTCGAGCCACTCTCTTGTCTGTGGGCAGCTGGCGGCAGTGCGGTTCGATATCGATGTCGACGAACTATGAGGCCATCGTGGATCCCTGGCCGGAGTTCATGGAGTTCAATTGGACTGTTGCAGGAGCACAACAAGAAGAAAAAGAAGAGGAGGACGAAGAAGAGGTCGAGGGCCCCAGACGGCCGATTCCGATCGATCTGCCACGGAGATGCGTATTATAGCTGGAGCCGTTAGTTAGCATAACTAAGGGGCCCCCCCTGTGGACTCCGGATTATATGCAGCATATTAGATAACTGGCCAGCGTCAGCGCAGCTATAGCAGACCTGTACATCCGTACTTAGGGCAGCTATAGCGTCCGGAATATAGATGAAGGAGGACAAGGGCCGCCGTAGAGAATAGAGTAATGAAATCCGGAGCATGGGCTTCAGCGCTCTCCACGGGCTCGCATGACATGACCTATCTCGAACATTCATGCGCCGCGGCGAAGAACCGTGGGAAGAAAGAGGCATGCCAGGACACGTAGACGTCGACAGGTCCGTGGGGAGCTCGCATCTGTCTCCGTGCATCAGAATCGGCATCAGCATCAGCATCATCGTCATCATCGTCATCCCGCAACGAACGTCCTGGAGTTATGCTCTGGCCATGACGAAATAATGGGAACCACAACCAGAGTTAGCAGTTTAGCTCGCAGGACGACGTCTTAACTTAGTTAACTGTTAGTCGTGAGTTAGTTAGATAGTTAGACTACACGGGAGAGAGATGTGAAACCCACCGCGAACTCTGGCAGCCAGTTGCTAAAAGGTCGGGCGACCCCCAACCTGCGTGCTCCCCCATCCCCCACCCCTTCTGCTGTCGTATTGGCCCTCGAAGCCCATCGAGGTGGAGCCGGCGTTTCTCTCCCGCACGCTCGCTGCAACCTGACGTCATGGCTGGCGCCCGTCTCGTCGCTCAATAGCTGGCCGGGGGGTTTATGCTCGCTGGACTGACTGGGGGGGTGGGTGGACAGTGGACAGCGGACAGGGGACAGGGGGCCTGGGGACGCTGGACTGGACTGGCTGGCCCAGATGGAAGTACACTTTTTACACCAAACTCTGGCGCTGCCCTCTCTCTGCTGGCTTCGATATGACTTCACACACTGACTTACATAACCGTCGGGGCAAGGAACAGGGACGCCAGGACAAGGGGGGGGATTGGGGGGGGAAGTTCTTCAGGGGTCAGGGATCAGGGATGCGCAGATAGGCTTTAGGGCTCTCGCCTGCCAGGCCTGCGAGTGGTGCGCCTGTCCAGAGGGCTGAGGAAGTGACATAATAGCACCCGGCAACTAAACCTCCTCGAGTCGAGTGTCTGGCTACTTAGTTGATGCACGATCGGGAATAGAAGACAAAAAGGGTTCGGGATGGCGAAAAAGGAGGATGGGACCCCCCGGGTGTTCCACAGGCGTCTTGGGCTGCAAGAAATCTCCATGATGCCGAAGAGTGATGACGCTGCTGAAACGACGGTGCTACTGGCCCTGACGCACGCAGTAGGATAGTTAGCCGGCTGCATGTAAATATGCGTGTGCATGAGGGAGTGCATGAGTGACCGAGTGCGGGTGTTGCTTCTATATGTTGGGGTTTTGGTTATAAGAGGCCCGGGGAACGATATCAGATCGCGATGCATGCATGTAACTGGTAGATATATATAACTAGACACGCTTGGCTGCCATCTAGACGTTGTTATTTATTACACTGCGAGTCAGTTATACGTGGTTAGTTAGTTGGTCGGAGTCGATGTCAATATGGATCGTGTCTGTCTGCTTCGGCTATTCTCCAGTCTCGGCAATTGTCTCTCGGCGTCAGCTAGCCATGAATATATCCCGACAGAGTCTGGGTCTGTCTGTCTGTAAATCTCTGTCTGTAATTATAGTTATATCTGCCGATCACCCTTGTTACATGCTTAGTTTATCAAGCAGATCGTGTTGACATGGCACACGTGTAATGTAGGACTACACTTGGGAGAGATAAAAAAAAGGCCTGTGATAAAGAGGGTACTATACAACTTCCCCCCTTTTATCCTCTGCATGTATGTATGTATGTATGTATGTATGTATGTATGTATGGAGTTGCGTCTACAGTCTGCTGTTGATCCCAATTGAACAAACACGGAGAGAAGTCTCGTCCTGGCTCTTCACCACGCCCGACTATCGACATGGATAAGGTGTCGACATGGATCTCCCCGTCTGTCTGTCCGTCTTCTGCGCCTCTTCGTACCCCCCCATCCCTACCTTGAGAACTGTGAAAAGTCAAACGACAACCGCATATCAGTAATTAAATTTGAAAAAAGAGGACAGCATCCAATCCTTACCCGCAGATACATCGAGGCAATTCACCCAACCAACGACTTTAGCTCTCCTGCCTGGCCTTATCTGCGTCTACGAAGTTTCTAGCGCTGCATTAGTTACTTGTCACCAGGGAAAAGTGTAAAAAAAAAAAAAAAAAACATTAGTTAGGGAGACAAACGAGGCAGCGAGGGGAATGTTTTCCCTTCCTCGGCAGCGCATATGCTGACAGCCCCTTGGTCCCTCTTATTTACAGTATTCTGTCCGTCGACTGTGCTCTCGGTACTTCTCGCTCGCTGCTGTCCCGGAGATATCGCCAACCGATCTGAGATTCAGTTTGGCGCACGGTTAGCAAGCTGTGCAGAAGTCAACCTGCACTGCAGGTAAGTTGAGCAGAGGCCCAGCACAGCACAGCACAGCACGGGAACTTTGCACAGGGGCGGGCGGTTTGACTGATTGATTGATTGATTGATCGATCGCTCGATCCCGCCGGTTGACTGATAACCAGTTAAGGAGGGCGCCTCCTGATAGACGGGGGTGACAGAGTTACAAACGCCCGGTAGTTAGTCCAAGCAGTTTATATGAAAATGCTAATTAATTCACCCCGTGCACAGGGAGTGGTGACGTCGACCATTCGCTGTGGAAGCCCTCCTGTTGTCAACGATCGATCGACGCAGCCAGAGTGTGTTTTGGGCGAGAGTTACATAACTATTTGTCATCAATCATATATCACCGTCCGTCCACTGGCATCTCTGCTCTGCACTGCAGAAGAAAGTGAGGGAGGGAAGGGGGGTGTGCGTGTGCGTGCGAGTCTGTTTCTTGCTAGGGGGACCCAGGCAAAGAAAAAAAAGGGGGGGTGGTGGTAACTAACTAGGGGGTGGTTTGATAGCGTGGCGAAAGCTGCGAAGTGTAAGTGTAGGGCAGAGTGGACACAGGAATGGTCAACCTCCGACCGTTGGGGCTTTATTATCATAGCTTCGTCCCTCTTATAAGGCAGGGATGAGATGCCGACGGTCGTATTCTGATAGCCCTACTCGACTGCCAGGCTGCTTGAAACAGACGAGGTGTTGCATCACTCGGTGTATGCTCGTGGGCAGCGCGGCGTTGCGGCCGCGGATGGAGGCCGCGAGAGGGAGCGAGAGCCCACGACGGTCTCGGTCTCGATGGCTCTGCCTCAAGGGCGGCTGCTCCGTACCCCGTATCCATGCATTCCACGCCGAAGCAAAGCACGGAGCCAGACTCCAAAAAGCTAGAGCTGCAGACCAGAGAAGAGTCCAGCGGACGGGTGCTGCGACAAGAAGCGCATCTGAGATATACACTGAGATCAGGGAGCTCGATGGCGTCAAGGGACCCCCACAGATGGTTATGTCCCCATCGACGCTATGGGCTCTCGCTGCGTCTACTTGTCGTATGTATGTATATATTACGGAGTACTCGTTCATTCATTCATTCGTTCATTCACTGCCCAGGAGCCCAGTCCGGGGCCGTCAAAAGTCCAAAAAGGGGGATGTATCAAACTAACTAGGCACGACTCCAATATCAACGCCAATATCAACCCCAACAGCAGTATCAGATCAGAAGCAACAGACGCAACAGATGCAGACCAAAGGCCGTGGCTCGCCTGGCCCTACGAGGCCTGTGGCGGCGCATCTCCACATCTTGGGCTTCCTTTTTATCCTTTTTTCCTTCTTTTTTGCTTCTTTCCTTCGTTTCTTTTTTGGCTTTTTTTCTCTTCTCCCTTTCTGCTCCAAATCTCCACCCTTAACTATAAGTACTAAAAGTATCGAAAATATATATGTGGCGTGTGTGGCAGTGCGAGGGCTATGGGTATCCGCCTCAGCCAGTTGTATGGACGGAGTAGACGAGCAGGCCGAGGGAGCAACGGAGAAAGAGGAGCCCTTGCTGGACCCTTCGCCGGGGAGATTCTTTGGCTCCGAGGCAGAGCCAGACGACGCAGACGAGCCCTTCGGAAACATGGTACGAGAGGGGCTGCAGTACGGAGAACAAGGGCGCTCTGGAGAAGCAGGAGAGCAAATTGTGGCGAACCAGACGCTGAGGGCGAAATTTGATTGTAAAGCCGTGATTCATTCGTCATTTCAACTAGTCTTGATGGGACGGACGAGCGCATCGCGGAGGGTCTGTAACAATGTAGAAGCGAGCGAGACATGGAGAGCCGACCTTAGTTAACGCAATTTGACCGTAGGATAAAAAAAGTAGTAAGACAGTAATCATCATCATCATTATTATTAATTAATTAACAAGATGGTGAACTATGGGAAGAACCATTCGAGAACACTTTACAGTGTGCGATGCTTGTACCACCCCGTCTTCCCAGGAGCAGGAGCAGGGAGCCAGCCATATTATTATCCTCCGCCTGGGAAGAATAGAAATGGAAAACCCCAGTTTCTCGGCCCTTTTTACTCCTGAACTCTCCCTTTTTCTTTTGCGTCTGTCTTCCGTAGGTTAACTAACTTGCGAGCTACTCCAGAGGAAGGTAACTGGGACTGGGAAGGTTATCGAAACGAAGGCCTCCCCCCGTAGAGCGGTAGTTATAGTAGATTTGGCTCGTTCGATGCCTACGATGAAGCAGCAGCAGCAGTGAAAGTAGTACCTGGTACAACACCGCTGATGTACTTCCCTACTTAGTCCTCCTCCTCCTCAATCATCATCATCCTCCCCATCCCCCCCCCTTTTACCCTGTCTCTCCTCTTCTCTCGACCCCCGCCATAGTCGCCCTTTATATACCAGGAACCAGGGTCTGCAAAAAAAGTCAACTGCCGACCAATCCCGTCAGGCCCCTTTGCTGTCCTCTCTCGTGGTTGTTCATCGTAGACGCAGGCCTACCAAATCAACTGACTTGCGCAAGGTGTGGTTCTGCAACAACGGACTCTGCGCGATAGTGCAAAGACTAGCTAGTTAACTAGCTACCAACTTGATAGACCGTCCCCTACCAGAAAAAAAAAAAAAATTCACCGACCACCACCACCATCACCACAACAACAACAACCACAACCACAACCACAACCACCCACTACTGCTACGTAACCAACTACCACAACCGCCGAGGCGATGAACATGAACAAACACCGAAAAGTCCCCCAAGTACCTTTTGAGCGGCGAAAAAAGGGCCATCGAGCCAAGCTTCTCTGCCCCCGTCTGGATCGGCCAATCACCCCCGAACCCAACCTGCCCTCCCCCGGTCTGGAATGATGGAATATAGCATCATGGGTGGCTTGCTCCTCGGATCGTCTCGCTCGCACAGGAAAGAAAAAGGAACATCACGGCCTGGTGGATGCTCAGTCTTCGAAAGCATAATCCCATCCATCTCCCTCTCTCTCTTTCTCTCTCCGTTGCTTTTTCCTCGCTCATGCAACCTTGCTTTTCCTTCCCTTGGTCTTTTGGCTTTTCTTTTTTGCAAAACACCCTCCATAAAAAGCAAATCAGAGTTGCAAAAAGAACAAAAGCAAAAAAAAAAAAAGAAGGACAAGAAGAGATCGAAGGGGGAGAAGGAGAAGCGCAGCAGGAGATTATTAGTTGGTGTTTAGATGGACCGCGCGGAAGAAACGGACGAACCGACCAGACCAGACGACGAGACGAGATGAGACGAGACGAGACGAGAGACGGAGAGAGGGAGTGAGTGAGACGCTGTCCACACAGAGAGAGACCGAGATTGAGAGACTGAGATTGAGAGACCGAGAGAGAGAGAGAGAGAGAGAGAGAGAGAGGA